TTGATGTCGATGAAAAAATTCAAGAATTATACATTTATTATCTATAGTATATTGTAAAATTTTCATCATGGGCCAGACATTTATTCCTATGGGAAAAAAAATCAAAGGATCGTTAAGAAGGTTATTTTTCTTTTTCTTACAATACTGAAGGTTTCCTGAGTGATCACCAACTACACAAAAAAAGACTTTCTGATCATTATACATTGTGAGAAAAAAGAAAATGACTCAATTGGCAGCCATTTGATTTTTTCTCCTAGGAAACAATGGCTGTCCCACGATGAAAATTTTATAGTAAGCTATAGGCGATAAATGGATAATTCTTGAATTTCTTCCTCAAAATCAAATTGGCCCCATTGACGTAAATTGCATTTTCCTACAACTTTTTATATTTTTTCGCGATTTTGATATTTATTTCTACTTTTTGAGATATGAAAATATTTTTTCATCACGATGTGCCGAAAAGTAGCTTTTCAGCCACGCTCCGCTTCGTTCCGCTTCGCTTCGCGTGTCTAAAAAGTGACTTTCCCGCACATTGTGACGAAAAATATTGTTGGCAACACGTGCGATTTAGTGATTTTTGGCTTGTGGGATTATACCACTCGCCTTCGGCTCCTGCTATAAGCCTCCCACGCACCAAAAATTACTTTTCTGCACTTGTTACGAAATGTACTATTATAAGAAAGCTGAGAAAAAATGCAATTTTTTATGTATTTTCAATTTTTACTCCCTCTATGAATTACTTAAAGATACGTGAAATTAGAAAGAAAGTCGAATTATGTACACCTAGGCATCTCTCAATGCCAAAAATCTGAAAAAATTCAGAAAAGTAAAAAAAATATGATAATTGCTTGAGGGAAAAATGAAATTAATTTTGTGACATGAAGGAAATGGATGGCCCACTTGACAAAGAATGCCTCATATGTGACAAACGTCATTTTTGACTGATGCTTATATATGTCAAAAAAATATGTCTCATATGTTTCGAATATATCATTTTATAATTGAGACATATGCTAAATATATTCGTCGAGTTTATATTATGTCACATATATTTCGAAAATATATCTTGACAGATATCATTTTTCTGTGCGCGGTTTCAGTGTTTTTCAGTAATGTCTCTTCATATATCAATCAATACTCATGAGAATATTTAAGAATATTATTGAAGTATTCTAAATTACGAATTTTCTCGTTTGACCACCGAGCTTCAAAATCTATCTTCTTCCGCATTTTTTTAGATAAAAAGATGAAATTTTGGGATCATATTTAGAAAACAATTTTGAAGAAAAATGCGTTGGGGATTTTGTTGAATTGATTTTTCGTTGAAAGAAAATTTGAACTTTATTGTCGACAAATCTCATAGGGGATTCAATAGGAAAACCAGACATAACATCCGATAAAAATTCCTGTAGAAAATTCATTTCAGGAATCCTATAGGAGATGCCTGAATTCTCTATAAGATTTCCTACAGGATTTTTTCATGAGTGATTAGACTTAATTATTTTGAAAGTCATGAGGAAGCAGTTTGAGAGTATTTCATTGACAACACTGCATACAAGAACAGCTAATATACCTCTAGTTGAGGTCTCTAATGCTTAACTAAAAAAAAACTGCATGCAAGATCTTTTTTTTTTATTGAAAAAAAGTTGGTATGTTTGTTTGTTTGTAAAATTTCTTGGTTCGTATTTTCCAAACGAAGGGTGAAAGTTGAGAAAGAGATTTCGCGAATCTAGAAATTCGTTTCTAATATATGAAATCGCTTTTTGGCTGTATCATATCCGTGCAATGTCAACAAACTAATTGTGATCAACATCCTTGTAATACTCGTAATATCATTCCCATGTCAATGGTGAAACAGTGAACACCGAGTGCCAGAGCCTAAGTGTCGTTCAACTTTTGTTGAGAATTTGTTGATAGCAAAATACAATGGTTTCGAGAATGGAAAATGTAAGTAATTCTTATCTTTTAAAATTATCAATTAGGTGTGAACTGTTGATTCATTAGTAATAATAGTAAAATTGAAAAAAAAGAAAAAGTGTACGGAAAAAAAAAATTTTTTTTTTTAATATAAATCATTTTTTATTCAATAGAAAAAATTGAGTTCTTTCAAAATCCATGCGATTGATTTCGCGAAAGAGCATGTCGAATACATAACCAAAATATCTTTGAAAAGATTTTTGCTCAATCAAAATGTGTTTTCCCTAATTGAGGATGCATTTAATTCTGAACAGGGCGTGGGTTACGCGAGTCTCACCAATTTCTTGTCAGAAATCGACGAACTTCTCGCTGCCAGTAGAGCTCTGCGTGAAGACGTTGACAGGTCACACCAAGTCATAGATGAGACTACTCCTGAAGAGGATCAAATTTCAGAACAGGGAGGACATTGCGCACGAATCCCTCTCAGAGATATAACGTTTCTCTACCAGGACAACAACGTACACCTTCAGCCCGGTCATGATCAGTCGAGTGTCCGTGGAACCACAGATGCTGATGTAAGACCCATTCCACAGACACGTCCTAGGCGGCTTCGTTCTCGAAAGTGTCTCTACTTTCCTCGTCTCTAACTTTTGCGAAACTTGGTAATACTTGATAAATGAGAATAGGTTTCGATCGACTGTCAACATATCATACGAATTAACTTCAAACTAAAAAAAAATTAGACCAGTGCTATTTTCTTTCCCCATTTATCGCACAGTATACTAATAATAATAAAAAAAACAGCATAAAAAATTCCACTTTCGCAAATTTTCCGTGAATTCGTCAGGTTTCATTTGTATTGTTGAATAAATGAACACAAAATGATAAACTCTGTTTTCATTCATATTCATATTAATTAATCTCCAATATACAAATATATACAAAATACAAAATATACAAAAATAAGATGGGTGTCTATTGGTTTCTGCGAAATTAACATTCTTTAAGGTTCTTACATATTTTATATTTTGCATATTCATTTTTAGGGGATTAACTTAAATTCCGCATTCCTGTAATGAACTCCTTATTTTCCAGAATTGCAAATTTTTCTAACTTGGAAAATATTGATTCAGATACCATCGAAATTACTTTACCCCATTCAGAGTAGCAATATTGACTGAGATTTTGAATCGATCTGAGCGTTCACGCGAAAGCGCGCATGATTGCCGAGTAGTTTGATAATCCGTAGAAAAGTATTCATACAATTTTCAGCGCGGTATACAAATATCTATCGAGTGACTGTTGATTGACGAGAGTAGGGGGGGAGGGCATGACTAGTTAAGGGGAGTTTCGCAAGAGATGGTGGATCCAGGATTAACGACGGTCGATTTTGTTATCCTTCTGTACACACATACACAAAGAAATTACTGATACTTATTCATCAGTATTGTTTCCTTCAATTTAACGGAAACAGCGTTCCAAGCGATTCTTCGAAATAATTCTAGTTACCAACTCATTCCTCGTGTTTCTATCGATGTTCACTCGGCGCACGATATTGCTGGAGTTCAATTCGCCGATCATTTGCGATTTTTGATTACAAATCAACGAGTGTCTTCTCAACTGATCCAACTCACTAGAGTGATTTAGATATTTCAAGTCCAGTTGTAAGGTAAGTACCAATACTTCTCTACTTCGTTATACGTGATCAAACAATTTCCAGAAATCGTCTTTCCTCCAAACGATAGAAGGGAATAAAAATCATAATTTTGAAGAAATTTTCTTGAAAGACAAGCTAAATAATTACGCTTTTTGGTTCATACTCTCAATATAGAGAAAAATCGTTTTCATAAAATAATGAAGTGCCTGGATAACGAATTATTATAATATAATAAATAAAGTTTATTTATTTAACTTTCATTTAAATTATTTAATTTAAATGAAATTTTAATTTGAATATTAATTATAATTTTTTCTTATTTATAATTTTTAAAATATGTTCAAATAACATTAATGAAATATTAACTTGATATAAAGAATTGACAATATAATATATAAAGGAATATATTTTTAATAGATAATTAGCTAAAATAAATACTTGAATTGAATGATTATATATTATGGCGCTTTCTTTGCTCTGAGTTGTCGCAAATATTACATTCATTTTTCTTCGGAATGGATTATTTTTGCTTAATATTTTGACGTGTTTCCTGACAATTGAAATTTTCTTGAAACAATTGAACCCTACAAGGCGCGGGGAGGTAAGAAGTTTGAGATTCATCGATTTCCCAAGAAACACGTCAAAATATTTAACAAAAATAATTCACTCCGAAGAAACACGGATGCGATATTTGCGAAAGCTCACAGCAAAGAAAAGCGCCGTTATTGTTTCAAAATTTAATTTTTAAATAATTAATTTGAATATTTTCATAAAATAAAAAATCAAATGAAAATATATCTTATAATTAAGGAAAAAAGTATCACTAAATGAAAAAATTATTTATAAAAAATAAAGAATCGACATGCGTTTAAAGTTTTGACATGTGTTTAAAGTTTTGTAGATTTTATGTTTGATTAGGTCAAATTTTATCCTAGGGATTATAATTCCTTGATATTTAACCCAATCAATAATTTTTTACTCATCAGGTCACCCCATTTGAGTTAACACGCATTTAACCCCAGGATAAATTATTATTTTTTGTCCCTGGGATAAATTTGAGATACTCTCCCGGTAAAATTAATCCATCGAACATGTATATTTAAATTTTTTTTAACTGACGGTTTGGTTACAAGTAGTTGGCCGAGTAGTTGTCGCAACCGGCCCTTAATTATACAAATTTTTAAATATACTATGGCCCGGTTGCACAGAGCCCTGATAACCAAATAAACTCCAGGACAAAATTTAGCCTCAGGATAAATCATATTCCTGGGGTTATAATTTCTTGATATTTGACCCAATGAATAATTTTTTATTCATCAGGTGGCCCCATTTGAGTTAACACGTATTTACCCCCAGGATAAATTATCATTTTTGGTTCCTGGGATAAATTTGAGATACTCCCCTGGTAAAATTAATCCATCGAACATCTAAATTTAAATTTCTTCTTAACTGACGGTTTGGTTACTTATTTCATTTTTTTTCATAGACAGGATGGCGTCCAATAATGTCAAACTGAGTGTTCTCGATGATGATGAGACCTCCAATATGTCAACAAGCTCTATAGCCGCATCTGACGAAGAAAATTGGACTATTGGGGAAAAAATTGAAACAATGAGAGAAGATATGGATTTAAATGAAACGAAATCAACTGAAAATGGGATTGAAAAACCTAGTTTGATTGATGCTTGTGCAAGACGCCCGTACCTTGACGGTACCTGGTTCAAACCCATAATGGAAGAATCTTCATTCGAAGTGGGTGTCTTCGCTATGTGCCAAGTGTGTTATAATGAACACAGTAAGGCCACAAAAATTAAAGGTTCAGTGAGCAGTGTGTCAAACTATAAAACGCACGTGAAGGTGAGATAATGTGATTTAATTCTTCATTTTTGAAAATGAAACTTTTCGTCATATTTGTAGAACAAAAGTAGAACACCATTGATTTTATATTCCACGCCAGTTAACATCTCAAGGATGAAGCACTAAGTTGTTGTAAAACTCTTGAATATTTACAGTTATGTCATAAGAAGAGGCTGAGTGAGTTTGAAATCTATTGTGCAGCTAAGAAGATACGCGTGGCAGATACTTCTCGACAAGAAAACGGAGTGACATATCATTTCGTGCAGTCAGTTTTTGATGCTAACATCTGTAATTGTGTTCTTCAAACGTTTATGCGTTTTAATATCGTGGAGGAGCCATCATTCATAAAAATCTTCGTAGGTGATCAACTCAATTCCTCCTATTGTGACCGTTAGGCGATATCATATTCATATAAAACTTCCACTTGAATCGACTGTATCTCTACCCGCAGATCCTCGACCATTCTTCTGCATAACTAATCGCTAGGGCTTAAAATCCAATTTTCATGTAATGTTCAACCTAAAAAAACAACCCAGACAGAATATCTCCATCATTCTGAAAACTTCTCCGCTTTCCTGGACACTAGCGTCCCGAATTTTATAAAATCCGAATGAAAGGTGCAAGAGGTGTGTGACTAGCAAATGAATGATATTTATTAGAATATTCGAATGCAATATACCGATTCTCGAATTATCAAAACGATCAAATAACTAGAATAAATTGAACAGCCTCAGTCATTTGGATATTCAAATTCCAAGTTAAATTTCTTTTTCCTGTGCTGTAATGTTGTAGAGGAACTACACATGACAATATTTCAGATTGGCTTTAGAAATTTTGACGTCATGGATTTCACCTGTTTTGGTTTCACATCCAAACGTTTTTTCGACAACTCTCAACTAATCAATTCTCAGGTCAATTCCCGAAATGCTGTGAAATTGTTCTCACGTTAAAGATCAGTCAGTTATGACTAAAGTCGACAAAATAGTGCAAAACTAATCCATTATTTATTGTTTATTTTCTCTTCGAACATTTGGAATGGGTGAATGATCCAGTGTACTCAATTTTCAACATACTGTTTCGTTTTTAATCCATGAAAAAATGTTAAAAGTGAGGAAATTATTATCACTTTAAATACTTCAAAATTTCATAATATTTTAAAAAATAATTTCGCGTTTTCGATATTTGCACGTCTCCAGCTGCATTCGAAGTCGAATGAAGATCACGATCGAAAGAGTCATCCCAGATTTTGAAAATTAGTGTAGTGAATGATTATTGATTTCACAACGGCTGCATGGCTTTCTCGAGCTAGTGTAAGAATCGAAAATGATATCCAATGTAACTTGAATTGAACAAAATGGCGATAAACCTGCTGGATTCAATGGTACCAGAGATATTTCAAGAATGACTGAAACCTGAAAGGAAATAGTCGGCAGAATGAAACAAATAATTTTATAGAGAGCACGTAACGTCATAAGTTGATTGTGGTTCTCATGCTTTATTCTTTTATGAATGGAGGATATTTCGAGTGGATTTAAACTGCAAGCTTTCGGTATATATTCCAGACATGAACATCAAATCTGGAGATGGTAAATGTCTGAATGTTATGTCCAGTTCAAGCGTGCAACGCCATACAGACGAGAAATATGAAGGGTTGATGGCACGAATCAAAAATGACATTGCCAATGCACGATACATATGTACCACTGCTGATATGTGGACGAGTAAAAACCGAAGATTAATAGGTGTCACCGCCAGTTTCGTAAGTATAAATTAATATTTGGTATTTATTAACATGAAACTAGACTAATTTTTGATTCGTCAATCATTGATCATATTCTTTCATTTTTACCTCTTCCTCATGGAACCATAAACGACTAAATTTTAGTGAGATTCCTTTCTTATTATTCGTCATCACTATCAACTGCCTTTTTGTTTTACCGGGAGTAGTACAAGTCTACTATAGAGAGTTCCAAAACATTGTAGAAATTTTGCAGTTTTTCTGAGAATTTCCACGAATCTCTAAAAATTACAGAAATGATTGAAACAACAGATTATCATTTTTCATGATCTGCCACTTAGAGAAGGCAGTACAACAGGAAATGGATTTGCTATTTTGAGACAATAGGAATATCTGAAAGCATCTAAAGTACTTGAAACTAAACGGAACGTCATTTCTTTCGCTGTATGAAGATTTAAAGCTGAAAAGAAGATCATATGCTCTTGCCTGTCGTCGATTTGAAGGATCGCACACACATGACGGCATTGCTAATATATTGAATGACATACACTCATCGTTCGGAATTACATCAGATAAGCTGGTTGGAACAGTTACAGACAACGGTTTAAATTTCGTGAAAGCATTCAAGGAATATGGAATAAATTTGGATGAATCTTTGTACTATGAAGGTTAGCTCTTTTTCGTAAGACTGTTCTGAATTTTATTACAATTTTTTATGGAGCTTTATAAGTCTATAGGTCTCAGCAAGCTCGGACAAAAAAAAAATTTTTATGCGATTGCGAATATCGTCGGATGTCAAACGAAGCTGACATTCCTCGCCGAGATAAATGTCCCTCGTTGACACATTTTCATGTGCAATATACGATGAAGGTGTACGGGCTAAATTTTTTCAAAAAATATTTCTCCTCCTAAATTTCTCGTATAAAATGCCTGGAAAAATTGTCCTCATGACTTATTTCTCTTCCGGTTTCTCTCGCGCGTAAATTTCTGCAATATCTCCTATTTCTTCTTCTATTCATTCCTCCTTTTCTCAAATAAATTTTACGTGAACACTGAGAGAAAAATATACTTATGCCAATTGACGTCGTTCCTGACGAAAAATTAAATGGAAATTTTAGGGAGGAATTTTATTGTCTGATTGCCTCAACTAAACGTCGTTGTCATCAATATATTTTTCTTTCTGTGACTTAGTACTTGAAAGGTCTTAATGTCTATTCTGAATGGAAATTCATGAAAACTTATAATTTAGGACTTTTGACAATTCATTGAAAATAAAAAATTACAGGGCTATTGTCATGTTCGATAAATTTAAACAAATTGTCGTATTACTATTTTTATTATTATAGTTATTATTATAAGATTGATAATTATTATTTGTTGGGTTCAATTTAACATTCTAACATTGAAAATTAACAAGAAAACTCCGGCAAGTTCGGACTTTTGTCAATTCTTTGAAAATAAAAAATTACGAAGCTATTGTCATGTTCGATAAATACACACAAATTGTCATATTTCTCCAATTTGCAAAATAAATTAGGTGGATAAATTAATCAAAAATATAATTCAATTAGACTGAAGGCCCTTGGGCAATGGCCAATCTTAAGATTCTTGTGACAAAATCCGTTAATAATAAAAAATATAATTCAACACTTCAAGGTGAAGATTTCGTATGCAACTTTCGTAGCCCTAAAACCTACGATGAATGTGGCGACTCTTTGTCATAAGAAAATAATTCATTTGCATTCTTAGCTGTTCTTAAAATTCTAACTATTTTAAATGTCATTTTTGTCCTACCACTAACTCGTCAACAAAGATGATGAAAAAATAGGATATTCGTCTTATAACTAAACTAACATCACGATTGAAAATATTGGGAAAAAAATATGGAAATCCCGAAATTACTGATATGAAGGAGAATTTTCCGTATCCCCATGATTTCGTTCCTCCAGATTACATACCAGCATACGAGAGAGAAGAGGAAGCATCTGAGCGAGAGCCGATTGGAAGAGAATCTTTTGCTGACATTTCATCCAGACTGCTTCCAGCCCATCATAGATGTGCCAGTCATATTCTGAACTTGATCGCAACCAGTGATCTCAATCGCGGTCTCAATGGGATCAAAAATCTAAGATTGACATACACTGACATATCCCAGAAATGTGTCAAGCTGTGGAACTTGACAAGATCGCCAAAACGAAATGAGGTCATCGTAGAATTTCTGGGAAAATCTCTGAACAGGCCCGTGGTAACCCGGTGGAATTCATTCTATGATGCTTACGAGCAAATCGTAGAACTGGAAGCAAAAATTTTTAGTTTACTGACAAAATTGGAAGTTGCCGATTCTTTAGCGGCTAGTGATTTTATGTAAGACTTAATTGGAAATGAAAAAGATTAAAAACAAGTATTGAGAATAACCTACTAAAAATTTCTTTCTCTCGTTTGATAGATTCCTAAAAGAATACGTACAGTGCATGGCACCCATCGCAAAAGCTTTGGATCGGCTTCAGGGAGATCTTGATGTGGGCTATGGTTGGTTGCTACCAACTTTGATATCTACCAGGAATGATCTGAGGGGACTGCAAACGACTGACTTCATCTATTGCAAGCCAATGCTCGAAGTATTACTATCAAGCCTCGATGAAAGGTAGCAATATGTCAATTATTAATCACTTTGAGATACCGATACATATGGGGTATTCCGTGCCAACTCGAACAGTCTGTGATCTCGACCGCTCAGAATTTGATCACGATTTTTCATGCGGGTTAGCCAACTAAAAAAAGAACTCAATTTTTTTTGGATTTCTTTTTTGAGCAGTAATTTTATTATTTAAACTGAAAGATAGAAAAAACGTCATGCTCTAAAAATCTGAAAAAATTCACAAATATTTTATAAAATATGACAATTTTTTATAATCTTATTACAACATGGTATTATTGATCTGAAGCGCACTCTGTTGGATATTTATAATATTTTTAATGGAATTAAATATTTTCAAAATTTTGATCATATACTTCCAGAGCTGCTTCATTCGAATCCAATGAAAATTTTAGTCTGTCATGATTTCCTGATGGCTGAATTCAATTTCGAGCCACAACAGCTGCAGATTGTTATTTTCATTATTTACGGAGATATGTGAGAAATTCAGTAGCGAAGCGGTGAACCGGGTTAAGTCGACTTAGTTTCTTACTCACTTTTCGAAGAATATCTTCAAATATAAGGAAAATTACGAAATTTTCGTCATAACCTCTTTTGTAACCTGCAATCCGCTCTACAATAAAGGTCATGCGTAAAATTTTATATTACTCAATACCATGTTGTAATACTTTTTTTTTTAATTGTCATATTTTTTCAAAATTTTGTGAATTTTTTCAGATTTTCAGAGCATGGCGTTTTTTCTAGCTTTCAGCTTAAACAAAAAGTTAAATCATCATAGAAAAAATTGAAAAAAAGTTTAAAAAAATTGAGAATACTTGTTTTAGTTAGCTAAACCTCATGAAAAATCGTGATCAAAATCTGAGGGGTCGAGGTCATGTACTGCTCGAGATGGCATGGAATATCCCATATTTTATCTTTAACAATTGTCAAAGATCTTCTAGAAACTGAATAAATTTTTGTGTATTATCTACAGTTTTTCTTGGATTGTAGATTCTCGAATTATTTCAACGTCATTGATGAAGGTAAAGTAGCAGCTGTAGCTGCAGCAGCACACCCGAAGTTCAAACTAAAATGGCTTCATTGTCTGGATCAGACTGCGCAAGCCAATGCAATGGCAGCTATCAAAGAAGCAATTAGTGCTTGTGCTAAATCCTCATCGTCAAGTATCAATGTCATGGAAACTGACGATGACGATTTCAACTTTGAATCAAGAGAGGAGGCCCTAGTAGTCACTCAGCACACCTTGGAAACGGGAGCAGCCGAAACTGAATTCGGGAGATTCAGCCAAAAGCCCAAAACCGACTTGGAAATACTCCTCATCTATCCGACGGTCCGAGAGATTTACCTCAAATCGAATACTCTCCTCCCTTCCTCGGCTTCAGTCGAGAGGATGTTTAGCTTCGCGACCGCTTTTGACACAGCGAAGTTCAACCGCTTGACTCCTGCAAACTTTGAAAAACGCGTACTATATAAAGCGAATTCTGCTTGGGATTCTTCAAAAGAGAAAAGAAACAAGAAGAAGTAAACAGAAAAATATTCTCCTTATTTGATCTTATAGGAAAACTTCCTCGTTTCATTAAGTAATGAAACAAACTCGATGAATATTGATGTATTCAATAAATGTGCGGGAAAAATGTGAGATGGAGTAGTTTATGATCTTCGTAAAACCATAACATATCTTCCTAGCTCTTTCTTCTGTCCTGGCAAAAATTCGGAAGTTTTTGTGAAATTCCTCGAATTTCAATTTTGAGTGTCTATTGCTCATATGAAATTTGAATCTTTTCACGTTTTTTTTTCAAAAACTCATCGTTATGAGTATTCAGAGTCAGAGTCTAAAAAAACAAGTTGGAGGCGGAAGCAATTTGGCAGAAAGCATGTGACTATTACTTTCTGAATTATTTTTCCCTGTCCGTTTTCTTCCTACCAATTTCATCGGTGGCAAGCTCCGAAGGGATCCGCAACTACCCTTCCGAAAAGAATACGTAAAGGAATCTGTACTTGGAATTTATCGTTCAACTCTTTAAAGAGTTACTGCTGATATTTTCCCAATTTTCATTTTTTGCAAATTTCTGGGAAACTGTAGATCAGATTGACGAAAAAAAAATTTGACATTTGTAATTTGAAATTCGAAATTTGAAATTTGAAATTTGAAATTTAAAATTTGAAATTTGAAATTTGAAATTCGAAATTTGAAATTTGCTTCATGTGTCCCTTAATGGGTCATATATATAACTTTCCAATGCGAGTTGAAATTCGTAAAGTTGAAATGTAAAATTGGAAATTTGGGAAGTTGAAATGTGAAATTTGAAATTCGTGAAGTTGAAATTTGAAATTTGAAGTTCGAGAAGTTGAAATTCGTCACCAATTATTCAAATTCCTTCAAATTTCAACTTCCCGAATTTCAAATTTCCAAGTTTAAATTTCAAATTACAAATGTCAAATTTCAAATTTCAAATTTCAAATGTCAAATGTCGAATTTCAAATTTCAAATCTCGAATTTCCAATTTCGAATATCAAATTTCGAATTTCAAATTTCAAATTTCGAACGTCAAATTTCGATTTTCAAATTTGAAATTTCGATTTTCACATTTGAAATTTTGAACGTAAAATTTCGAACTTCAAATTCCAAATTTCATATTTCCAATTTCAAATATCAAATTTCAAATTGCAAATTTCCAATTTAAAATTTCGAATCTCGAATTTCAAATTACAAACGTCAAATTTCAAATTTCGAATTAAAATTTCAAATTTCAAATTTAGAATTATAAATTTTGAATGTCAAATTTCGAATTTCAAATTTCGAGTTTCAAGTTTCAAATTTCGAATGTCAAATTTCAAATTTCAAATTTTGAATTTCACATTTCAAATTTCAAATTGCCAATATTGAATTTCAAATTATAAATGTCAAATTTCGAATTTCGAATTTCCAATTTCGAATGTCACATTTCCAATTTAAAATTTCAAATCTCGAATTTCAAATTACAAACGTCAAATTTCAAATTTCGAATTACAAATTTCAAATTTTAAATTTAGAATTTTAAATTTTGAATGTCAAACTTCGGATTTCAAATTTGAAATATCGAATTTCGAATTTCAAATTGCAAATATTGAATTTCAAATTATAAATGTCAAATTTCGAATTTCAAATTTCCAATTTCGAATGTCAAATTTCGAATTTCAAATATCACAGACAGAGTCATTAAAAATTTTCCGACGATTGTTTGAAATATTGTAAAAAAAAATTTGCTAAATGGTTAATCGTAAGATGAAAAAATGGCGGATCGAATTTTTTCAACCAATAGTTATGGAATATTGAAAACTCCAGTGATACATTAATGAGCTTATCGATAACAGTTGAGAGCTGATTAATGATGAACCAAATATTCGATACAAAAGGAACTGGAAATATTAACTTAATCACTAGCACACAGTTCGGGATCACTCTTACTAACTGAATGAATAACTTTAACGATCCAGAATATAGTTAATCGTTCGTCTATTAACATCATTCACATTCAGTCGGTTATTCGTTGAAAGAATAATTCACAATTTCTTGGCGTAATTATTGATTAATGGGATAATGGAAAATGTTCTATTGTGATTATTCGTTAGCTAGTTATCGATTATTTCAGGTGTGGAGATATTTCAATATGCAAATAATCATCAACAAAAACATAATATTACCGAAAATTAATATTAATGGGCATCCCTGAGAGTGACATCGAATGACGGTTAAAGTGAACCGCGCGTGAGGTGAATAGACCAATCAAATAATGCCAAGCGGCGTAGTTGGGGTGAAACCATGCTTCCGAACATTATAGAGAGGCTGTCGATACCCTGTCGCCTTATCTAGAAACCCGCCCAGTTGTGTTTGGGGAAAAAGGGCCAACGTACCGGCGTTCCAAGTGGGCGATTCTACAGGCGCTATCGACTTAGACTAGGGACCAACGGCCAGGTGAGAGGACTAGCGCCCCCTCGATTGCCGTCGAGCTGATTGGTGGTGGTGGGGTAACGGATGACCCACCGCCGCTGAGATGTTGTTATGTCCTACCGAAGTAACTAGGAGGACAGTAGCGCCAATGAAATTTAGAGCGCCAATTTTTGACTGTAGATTCGTTTGCCGCCAAAGCTCTGATGAGCACTCCATCGAAGTCCAATTGTTTAATCCCAGAATATTTGGTTGGAAGGGTTGAATTGTGAAATAAATTCAACACAAGTGCTTAAGAGAGCACACAAACACTTTTATTCAAAATACTTCAACTTCAGACTTTAAACTTTGCACTACAAAAAAA